ACGTACGGCCTCACGTACGGCCTCACGTGAGGCCTTACGTGTAGCTGGCCTATATATATAGCCTCACGGAAACGGTAAGAATGCATAATGAAATAGTGAGGCTGTACAGCCTTCCCATTTCATATAGATGCGCGTGAGAATTAAGCGCCGGAGCTTCCTCCGAGCCCTCCGGACCAATCAGAAGATCAGACGTAAGAAGGGTGTATACGGAGTAGAAAAGGGGTGTACACCGAGTAAATATAGGGTGTACATTTAGCAGCGCCCAACTTTTTATTAGGTGGTTGTAGAGTTATTTAAGGTTAGATTATTGAATTTCTAGTGGTGCACGGACTGGGCAGCTCGCCCGCATGGGCAGCTTACCCGCAGGGTACGTTAACGTATTCCACAAGCGAGCCGTCCACCCAAGCGAGCCGTCCACTTTATTATGAAAACCGGCCTCAAACGTTAATTGCTCCACAACGCCAATAGATATCAACTATATACAACTTGTAGCCTAATCTGCAGCAACCTCTGCATTATTTTTGCACGTACGAATGTTGTGCCCTAGCTCGCCGCAGCGTCCACAGCGCCGCGCGCTCCCGCCAGAATCTGCCCCGCCTTGCTGCCTTTTGCTTTAGGCGTCCTTATTAAGCCTTTAAGCAGCTATTTAAGAGCCTGCTTCTATTGTTAGAGTTCCTTCTCTCTGGATCCGCTTCTTTTTGCGCGCCTTGCGCTTTATAGCGGCTTTATTTGCCTTTTAAAGGCTGGCAACTATATCGCGCAGTAGCGTGGCTTAATATATTATTATTGCAGCACCTTTAGAAAGGCTGCTAAGCGTATTAAGAATTGCTGTAGGTAAGCTATTTTAATACCTTTAAATATAATTATAAATTAAAGCTAATTAAGAGCCTAGCTTATAAGCGTTACTTAGTATTTTTAATTCCTATTAAGTGTTATAACCCGTAATATAAACAACCCGAGCGCAGAGGTACTTATAGAGATAAGTAAGCAGATAAGACTAATTATATAGAACTAGGTTACAGGACTAAAAGGGTTATATATAAAACGTATAGGGATTCTAGATTCCCCTATAAACTGCTAGTAAATAAAAATAATCTAAAAATAGGATATTATAAGAATAGGGTTACGTAATAGCTTAAAAGGCTTAAGAAAGTAAGCTAGGCAAGCGCTTAAAGGGCTTAAGGCTATAAGCTAAGGGAGCAGCTTAAGAGGCTTAAGGCTGCAAGCTATATAAGTAAAAGGTTTTTTAGAACGGAGCTTTTATATAAAGGGACGCTCCTTTATATAGATAGAAACCTTATATTTAACTTAA